TACACTGTTGGTGGGAATGCAAGCTGGTGCAGCCACTCTGGAAAACAGTGTGGAGGTTCCTCAAAAAGTTGAAAATAGAGCTACCATATGACCCAGCAATTGCACTACTGGGTATTTACCCCAAAGATACAAATGTAGCAATCTGAAGGGGCACCTGCACCCCAATATTTATAGCAGCAATGTCTACAATAGCCAAACTATGGAAGGAGCCTAGATGTCCATCAACAGATGAATGGATAAAGAAGATGTGGTATAGGGGCGCCTGGGGGGCTCACTTGGTTAAGCGACTGCCTTCGTCTCAGGTCATGATCCTGGAGTCCCGGGATAGAGTCCCACATCAGGCTCCCTGCTCAGCAGGGAGTCTGCTTCTCCCTCTGACCCTCTTCCCTCTCGTGCTCTCTATTTCTCATTCTCTCTCTCTCAAATAAATAAATAAAATCTTTGAAAAAAAAAGATGTGGTATATATACACAATGGAATATTATGCAGCCATCAAAAAATGAAAATGAAATCTTGCCATTTGCAACAACATGGATGGAACTAGAGGGTATTATGCTAAGCAAAATAAGTCAATCAGAGAAAGACAAGTATCATATGATCTCACTGATATGAGGAATTTGAGAAACAAGACAGAGGATCATAGGGGAAGGGAAGGAAAAATGAAACAAAATGAAACCTTAGAGGAAGACAAACAATAAGAGACTCAATCTCAGAAAACAAACTGAGGGTTGCTGGAGTGGAGGGGGGTGGGAGGAATGGGCTGGCTAGGTAATGGACATTAGGGAGGGTATGAGCTATGGTGAGCACTGTGAACTGTGTAAGACTGATGAATCACAGACCTGTACCCCTGAAACAAATAATACATTATATTTTAATAAAAGAAAAAAGAAAAGCAGGGTTTGGGGGGAGACTGGGCAGTCTGTGTTCTGCCTGTGGTGGGGATGGGTCAGAGAAGTAGGTTGTAAATAAGATTTGGGGAAAATAAAATAAGATGAAATCAGAGAGGGAGACAAACCATAAGAGACTCTTCACTCTAGGAAACAAACTGAGGGTTGCTAGAGGGGAGGCAGGTGGGGGGAACGGGGTACCTGGGTGATGGGCATTAAGGAGGGCACGTGATGTAATGAGCAGTGAGTTATATGCAACTGATGCATCACTAAACTCTCCCTCTGAAACTAATAATGCACTATATGTTAATCAATTGAATTTAAACAAAATTAAATTAAAAAAGAAAAAAAAAGATCTGAGAGCTGCACGAGCCATCCCAGAGGAGGGAGAATATTGGTCCATGCCATCAAGGACCCTCTGGGTTGTCCAGAGATTGGAGTGTCTTATTCAATTCTATGCCCATCCAATTGTGTGTCTCCTCTGTTCCTTCCTCGAATCATGATGGCTCACTCCTCCTCTGGCATAGATTCTGCTCCCAGGATGATGTATGCTTCTCCTGTCCTTCCCTTGCACCTAGAGACTTCTACTGTAGGACGCCACAGGACCTCGACAGATGCGACCCCTGATAATAGTTTATCTTCACCTCCCAAATCTCTCTTCCACTCCAGTCACTGCCTACAGCAGGGGGCAGCAAAACAGCATGTTTACCTTAAGAACTGCAAATTAAGGACAAACTCAGATGACAAACGTCCTTAAAATTATCCTGTTTGTATTAATCGAGCCCCAGATAAGCAATTTACTGGAGAAAAAAAATCCAAGTTTCTACTTGTAGGATTAATGAACAATTCTGTCCAGAAAGAGAGAGAAGGGAGAGTTACACTGGAAAGTCATATAGAAGGTGTACGCTGGTTGTAAAATGTGCCAAAATAAAGCAAAATAACACGACAGAGAGAGCGAGAGAGAAATAGTGGGGAATGAACAAGAGAGGCCATGAGTTGGTAATTATTGAAACCAGGTAATGTGGGGACATTGAGGATCATTACATTATTACATCTACTTTATATATGCTGGAAATTTTCCTAATCAAGAGAAAAGTTATTAAAAAGAAGACTTTCCCAATGAGATATATGGCTGGATTGATTAGTGCAGGAAGCTATGGGATATTCATGGATGAGGAAGAGTCAGGACCACAGACCTGGAGGGCAAAGACGACAGACTTAGGACATCAGTGTTTCACACTATCTTTGCAGTTGTGCTGTATTTGTCCTTTGTTACATTGAAATGTTGAAGACTTTTCCTCCTAGAATCAGCAACAATTTGTGTTATGCTAAAATTACATCTTTATCGAACAAGTTCCAGTTCCTTCAAAATAGGAGGGAAGATATTAAGTATTTCATTGAAATACATACCCACATTAAGAGAATACCTTCCTACACTTAGCCGGTATTTTCAGTAAAGATCTGTGCCCAGGAATCATTGCCCAGAAAAGCAGTGTCCATTAAAGAACAGTGGAAATTTGGAACAAAGTCAGTAGTGCTGGTCCCCTAGGAAAAGACAAAACAAAACAAAATTCTCAAACTTGATGGTAAATAGATTGAAATTGCATAGCTTACCTAGACCTGAGTTAGAAAAAAAAATGAATGAATGCAGAAAAAAGAGAAATGTTACAGAGTCACAACCTTCCATGCGGGCTGGTTTCCCTTTATTTGAAAGGATTCTGAATTTACTCCACAGCTTATTCAGCTGGGACAAGGGTGTGGCCTTGAGCAACTGTAATAGATAAGGCAAGAGAAGAGGAAGAGAGACTATTGTCCGGTGGGTGGCAGAGAAGCACCAGGAAGAGGAGATGAGGGAGTTGGAGAGTCTCTGCACCTTTGGTAGGACGCATAGTAAGTAAACCAAGGCTCTGCCTGCCTGAGTAAAGAGGGAGTGAAGGTTAGGTCCTGGGGGGAGAGGGGGGTGGGTGTATCTTTCTCGGAGGCTTGGTAAGCTGGGAGGACAACATCACTGACCGAATATTTCCCATTTCCTATTTCCATGCCCTGTTTCCCCAACACTCAGAGTTGGAAACGCCTCCATCCTGGCTCTCCCTACCATGGGCTTCTTGCTCCTCTGCTGCATGGCCTTTTGCCTCTTGAGAACAGGTGAGTTTGGGAAATATGGGGAAGCCCTGCCTTAAATTTTCCAGGTCCTGGCTGAAGCTTCTCCCTTGAGCCTGTGGCAAGAGGACACTTCCCAGGTTCTGTCTCCAGTATCTGTCTTGTTTCCCCACAGGCTCCATGGATGCTGACATTACCCAGACCCCAAGGAATGGGATTATAAAGACAGGAAAGAGCATTTTACTGGAGTGTTCTAAGACTAAGGGTCATAACTCTATGTACTGGTATCGACAAGACCCAGGACTGGGGCTACGGCTGATCTGCTATTCCTACAACAATGATATTAATGAAGGAGAGGTCTCCAGTGGGTACAGGGCCTCTCGAGAGGTGCTGGCAAAATTCTCCCTGTTCATGGGGACTGCCATCCCCAACCAGACAGCTCTCTACTTCTGTGCCAGCAGTGATTTGCACAGTGCTTGTTGGCCACCTGCTCTCCATACAGAAACACAGACACATTTGCTCAAATGGGCACAGAAGGCTTCCTCCATGTGGGACATGGGGATCCTTAGTGGTCTGAGGAGTTCTACGCTGTGTGAGTCTCAGTCTGAGCTTAGGGCCACATAGGGTCAATGTGCCCCAGGCCATGTGGTTACTGAAGCCACAGGCTGGACTGAACCCATCTCTCCTGCCGACTGACCCTCTTTCTCTGTTCTAGTGGGGCTAGCTCAGTAGTGTCCTTCTAGGAGAATGAACCTGACATTTGGCAATACCACCTGGTTTTCAATAAGAGCATTTCTTAGTAGCTCTGACACAATGTGGTTTTTCATGGTTCTTTTGCCTCTGTCTCCGCCCACTTTGTAACGTGCTCCACTCCACTCTGTTCCTACTGACAGTCCCTTTATCCGGCTGTCCTCTTCTCAGTCCGGGTTCCTCTAAGCACCAGGCACTGTTCAGCTCTGTATTTGGGGTCCTTTCTACCAGGAACAAACTGACTACCTTGTTTTCTAAAACTTCATCCTAAGTAAATTTAATTAGTATTTAAGTCTGACTCAGAAGGTGAAGTTTGTTCAGTACTAGAGACTGTGATCTATAAAAGTTATCTTTCATCTACTGCCCCACACTCAGATCTCTTCTGAGAATTATCTTAATCTGCAGGAGCAGAGACTGTGACATTATCTGGATGTACTGCATTCCAAAAAAACATTGCCTGCTCCCCAGCATGGAGCCAAAGCTCAGAGCTTGGAGATTCCTCTTTCTCTCAAGGCATTGGAATAAGCCCCCCGTTCCCCTGCAGAGAGGACCCTCCTGGGAGCCAGTGAACTCCAGGCACAAAAATACTCAATCAAGGGCTGCCATAGCCTGATGTAAAACCTGCCTAAGAATCAAACTGAAGACTTTTCTTATATGCTTTGTCTTTGTACCCCATGAACCTCAATTATTTCAACAAAAGAATCCACGACGCAGTGACAGTTCACCCAAAGAATGTAACTTGTTTCATTTTCTACCTGTTCTGATCTGAAAAGAATGTCACTTTTTTTTAATCTCCTGTATGAGTTCTATCTCATCTTTCCCTTTAAAAAGTCAGTTTTCTAGACATTTCCCCCCTACTTTTTATGCACACTTCACCAAAGTCTCATCTGTAATGATCATTCTTCTCTCATAAGCTATTAACTGTTCTCTTTAATTATTTGCTGGACATTTCTCATAGATTTTTCTAGGACTTTCCTTCTGCCTTCTTTTTTCCTTAGTATAAATATTCTTCCTTTACCTTCCCATCCACGATCACGACAATTTCTTTCATAAGTTCCAAACTGGTAGACTCACCTGTCTTCTGGACACTTCCAGCCGGATGCTCCACACTTAAAACTCAAGTGATTTATTGCTGAATTTATCATCCCCCTAACCCTGCATGCATCCATTCTGGCCCATACACTGTATTTCTTCTTAGTGATTGAAACCATCATTTTAGATTCTTCTTTCCATAAGCCCTCATGTTAAGTCTGTTTGCAAATCTATTACTTCTAAGATATAAAGGTAGTGATCTGAAGGGGCACTTGAACCCCAATGTTCATAACAGCAATGTCCACAATGGCCAAACTATGGAAAGAGCTAAGCTGTCCATCGACATATGAATGGATAAAGAAGATGTGGTGCATATATACAATGGAATATTACTCAACCATCCATCAGAAAAGATGAATACTTACCATTTACATTGACGTGGATGGAACTAGAGGGTATTATGCTGAGCAGAATAAGTCAATCAGAGAAAGACAATTATCATATGGTTTCATTCATATATGGAATATAAGAAACAGCACAGAGGGCCCATAGGGGAAAGGAGGGAAAACTGAATGGGAAATAGAGAGGGAGACAAACCATGAGAGACTCTTAACTCTAGGAAACAAACTGAGGGCTGCTGGAGGGGAGGTGGGTGGGGGGATGGGGTAACTGGGTGATGGGCATTAAACAGGGCACGTGATGTGATGAGCACTTGGTGTTGTATGCAACCGATGAATTATTGAACTCTCCATCTGAAACTAATGATATACTATATGTTGGCTAATTGAATTTAAATAAAAGAAAAAAAACAAATTTATTACTTCCATATTCCATATTGTCATAGGTTTGGTTTTCTAGGTAGCCGACTTTGCAGGGGAGATTAGCATTCAGTGGGTTATTAGAAAGTATCATTTTCAGCAAATGTGGGTAGAAGGGAAAGAAAGAAGGAGAGGCTGAGGAAGAAGTTGGGATGTCCTACAGCCTTAACAAAAGCCCTAGCTGAGCCACAGGGAGCCCTGAAGCCACAATGGCCCTTAGAACCACCTGAAGTTGAGGTGAGGAGACTAGGTCTTATACCCACTTTCCTTGCAACCATGCCAGTGTGCATGGTTGCAAGGGCATGCCCTAGAGGGTGGGGGGGGGGCCGGGAGGTGTCTCTTTAGCCAAGGCAATTCACAAAGGGGGCTGTTTGTCAGCAACATTCCTAGCAGATAGGGAAACTGTCCTTCTTGCCTGAAGGGAGATACGAAGGACACATCACAGTTTTCAATACACATGTTTATCTGATTCAGCTGCTCCTTCCCTTCCTTGTTGCTTCCACTTCAGGGCAGACCCTCAACATTCATTCCCTAGAAAAAAATGCACTGCCTTTTTCATTGGTCCACTAACCTCTTACCTCATCTGTTTTACTCAATCTTAGATGTTGCCATCAGCCGGAATGCATTTGGCATTCTTCACATGGCATGCAAAGTCCTTCATGAACAGATCTGTGTCTAAAAATATAGCCAAATCTTCCATGCTCCCTTCAGCCCTTTAGACTCTAGTTCAGCTGAATGTTTTATGTTTCCCTGAATAGACCAAGCCAGCCAAGTTGCACAACTATAACTTTGCAAATGTTCTTTCTCATTAGAAATGGGGTACTACTTCTTCACTACCTGGCTCACTCTTGCACATACTTTAATTCTTAGCTCAGAGATTAGCTTAACTATAAAGGCTTTTGTAGGGCACCTGGGTGGCTCAGCTGGTTTAGCAACTGCCTTCGGCTCAGGTCATGATCTCGGGGTCCTGGGATCAAGTCCCATGTCGGGCTCCCTGCTCAGTGGGGAGCCTCCTTCTCCCTCTGCCTCTGCCCCTCCCCCCTCACTCATGTTCTCTCTCTCTTTTTCAAATAAATAGTCTAAAAAACGTAAAAGACAGACAAAAGACTCAGTTCTTATCCATTCCAAATACTATAGTTATCGTATTCTTTACTAACTCTTCCCAAGACTATATATTCTTTAGTTTAAGAGTAATGTCCCTCCAATTTTATATGCCTGGAACTGAGTAAAATGTCTGACTTAGCAAAGGAAAGATGGAAGAAAGAAAGGAAGTGAGGGAGGAAAGGAAAAATATGTCTTTCAAGTAGTTCCTCAGGATTTTCTTCCAAGAAACATGTTTTCTGAGTTCTGGCACATGTTTATTTAAGTCCTCCACAACCCCCACCTACAAGTCCTTTTAAAAGAAAGAAAATATGTTTGGTTAAGCATAATTCTATAAGAAGACTAAGAACATTGGAAAATGAGAGAGGGTGTTTTACTGGACCAAATGTGTGGAGACATATGTAATGATTATTTTTGATAATTGTTGTGTCCTAATTGTTGACATTGAGAAATTCTCAGCAGCTGCTCCAGACACTTCCCCAGCTATATCAGGAAATGGGCCATGCGTGAGTCATTCCTGCCCTGGCAACAAGGGCTGGAGAGTTATCCCTGCCCTCAAGTACCCCTTCATCCCAGTGGGACCCGAGCCTCTCATATCTCCTCCCAGGCCAACACCCACCCCTTGGGTTCTTCCCTCTTTCTTTAATCCCTTCTACCGTGAGAATCAGATTTTATACCCAGTTATTGCTGGGGACTTTCATCAGCTTATCACTCATCCTTAAATCTTCTCACACCTAGACCAATTTGGGGCCTCTCCCCTTCCTATTTCCTTAAAATTCATCAGAAAGACCCTTCTCAAATCTCTAAGTTTAGTCTATTCATCCTTTTCACTTTTTTTTTTCAGCAGGGGGCAGTAAAATTTCATTATTTTTTTTTTCTCCCTGGATGCTACCTATTAAGGTAAGACCAGCTTTCAAAGTAAGAGCAAAGAACAAATGTCATTCAATTTTCATGATTAGCCTTGTCTTAAAGAAATCTTTAATGAGACAAGAATATTTCAGGGTTTGGTAAGTCAAAATTGTTATATTCTTTTGAGACATAGGAGAGAGCAAGAGTGAGGAGGAGCCTGCAGTTGACATATATAAAACACATAAAGGTGATCCTCAAATAGTAGAGCCACAACAGTCAAATCCAAACCCCCCAGGTCAGCAGCAGCTCAGCAAGAATTTGACTGAACGTCAACTGTGGATCTCAGTGAACGAGGGCAAAGGGAGCAGACGAAGGGGGAAGGGATCCCGGGATTCATCTTTGTGACTCACAACTACAGCTAAAGATTTTCTGTTGAAAAGAAATGAGGAAAAGAGAGGAGAGAGGATGGTACTTGGCTTGGAGGTTGTTTACTGTAGCAGCACCCAAAATATTTTAGTCACTGTTACCAAAGCATGTATTGGAAAGAACTGCAGGTCTGAATTTTCTATTCTGTCATGATTGATGGTGCAGTTAAGAGAAGGACGAACTGAATATAAAGGAGCCTAAGTTGAAAAAGTTGGTGAAATCTGAACCCTGAGTTGATGAGAAATAAGACTGAGAAAGTGGTATAATTATCATACAATAAGAACAACAAATTTTCTGAGAACTCAGCAAATGTCAGTCCCTGCCCTAAGCCCTTCACACATGTTATTGAAACGGGTTCCCTCATGTAATCCTCCCAACGTGGTCTCTAGTGTCTGTCTGATGTAGATGCCCTGTCCACTGAGCCCTTCTTTTGAGCTCTTCTCTTGCAGGTTTGCAGAGGAATTCATTCCAATTCATCCTTCAGAACTCACCTCAAACACCACTTCCTTTCCCAACCTTCCCAATTCCGTCAAATCTTCCTATTACAGCCTTTCAAAGCTCTGCAGTCCTCACTTTCATAGCTTGTAAAATGGTTGCAATTTAATGTTTTGCAAAAAAAGAGTAAAGACTTGAGTTAAGACAAATGAGCAAAGCATCTAGCCTACTTTGGATGAGAGAAGTAAACAAAAATATTAGTCCTTTGTTGGGTAAAGGGATACAGAAGACACTGCTATATCAACAGGATGGCCGTGGGGCCCAGATAGTTTGCAGGGACGGTGTTGTCACACGATGACTTCATCAAGAGCCCATCCCACTTCCCCAGAACTGGGAGACATCCTTCTGGCCCTAATTGTGCCATGGCTGTCAGGCTTCTCTGCTATGTGGCCATTTACCTTCTGGAGGCGGGTAAGTCTTAGACACAGATTTCTCTAAAATTAGAAAGGAACATTTTCCCTTGTTCTTGTTCTGTACCTGGTTCCAGCATCAAGGCCTCTGTTGCTAATTTTTGTCTCCTTTTTCTCAGGCCTCCTGGATGCTAGTGTCTCCCAGATCCCGAGACACTATGTTTCAGGGACAGGAAAGACGATTGTTCTGGAATGTTCTCAAACTATGGGCTATGAGAACATGTACTGGTATCGACAAGACCCAGGAAAGGCACTACAGCTGATCCATTATTCATATGGTGTTAATACCACAGAGAAAACAGAGTTCTCCTCTGGATCAACTGTCTCTAGAATAAGGAAGGAGCATTTTCCCCTAACCCTGGAGTCTGCCAGCCCCTCATAGACATCTCTCTACCTCTGTGCCATCAGTAAATACACAGTGCTACATAGGCACCTATAGCCTGCATAAAAAGGGTAGTCACAAAAGTGAGGAAGCCCCACCAAACCTCATCGGAAATTACAAAAGCCACTGCAAATCTTCCCAGACTCCACAGCCCTGAGAAGGCAGTGTGGTCTGAGCAACAGTCTGGGTAGAAAACTAATCCTGGGTCAGTCTCTACCAAGCTGGGGAATGGCCCAGTCCACAGTCAGAGACTGATTTCTCCCCTGCATCTTTGTTCATCAATTCTGTGGATGGTTTCAAGTAACCAACTTTTAGCACCACGGATTTCTATTTGATTGATTCCAAATTTGATCTTTATTATTCCTTGCTTATTCTTTTTTGTTTGTTTGTTTACTTTTTGCTTCTCTTTATAGTTTCTGAAGGTAGAAATTTAGATTATAATGCAGACCTTTGTTTTTTTTTTTTTTTTTCTCTCATGGAGTCATTTAAGGCTATAAATATCCCCTTAGGCCCTACTGCATTCCATGTGGTTGGATATATTTCTGACTTCATTCAGTTAAAAATATAATTTTCCTTGAGATTTCTTCTGTAATCCATGATTCATTTAAGACTATGTTGTCAAGAGCAGAACTGGGAGTAAGATGGCGGAGGAGCAGGAGACCTGGATTTCGTCTGGTCTCAGGAATTCAGCTGAATAGAGATCAAACCATTCTGAACACCTACGAACTCAACAGGAGCTCGAAGATAAGAATAGTAACAACACTCTGAACAGAAAAGCGACCACTTTCTGGAAGGTAGGATGTGCGGAGAAGTGAATCCG